CCCGGCCCCGCGCCCCCGGCCCCGCTCACCGCTCGCCCCTCAGATGAGCTGCACGGCTCCCGAGGCCACCAGCGGGGCGATGGTCCTGTAGCGGATCAAGTGCTGCGAGCCCTCCTCCAGGTCGATGGTGTACTCCCTGACATGGACACGCACAGGTCGGGCCCCACTTTGTGACACCAACTTCTTTATGGGGAGAGGGGGAGAGCCCACCTACCTCTGCTCATCTGTCTCTGGCTCAACCAGGATGTTTTCCTGCCGCTCCAACACCCTCAGAAACACAAAGGAGTCCAGGTTGGGCTTCGGAACTGCAGAACACGGATGAGGAGCACAAGCTCAGCGATGCTCCTCTGCAGGACACTGAGCTCAGAGGGACACGGGGACAAGGCCAGCAAAGGGAATGCTGGCACTTGTGACCCCGTGCAGCATGCACTGCCTCTGCAGGGCCAGTACGACCCCCTGACAGCTGTGACAGGGGTGGTGGCATTGAGCCACACACCACACAGCAGAGCTATGACACTGTCACCACGTCAGCTTTCCTTCTAGTGAGCACCAGCTGGACAACAGCATGCGACCTGCACCCCAGAGCCCTCCCCACACCCTTGGCGTCTGGGTTACTCACCTGATTTTAGGAGAGAGACTTTCTGCAGGTTGGGTGGCATGTGTTTCAGGGCCACGTTTTTCAGGTATGTCTCTGTGTTTGCCATGTACCTGAAATCAACCATTGGAGCATTTACTGGTTCAATCAAACACAAATTTGCAGGAATACTGACTCACAGCAAGTGACACAAGAGGCATGGCCAGAGACAAACTTGGTGCCTTGCCCCAGTAACTGGCTCAGTTACCAGAGATGTTTTATTTCAGCTCTTTCCTTGTTCATAAGGACACCTCCTAGTAAAACTCGTGATTCTTACTGCAAACCCCTTCAAGGCCAACAGTCTCAAGAACTGTTCAGCATAACACATGGGTGAGTTCTACAACCTATGGGGAGGGAAGGAGATGCACCCAAATCATACTCACTCTTTTGCAAAAGCAAACTCCTCTGGTGACAGAATGGAAGGCTCCCCTTCAGCTCGGGACTTCTCCTTCTCCAGGATGTGGGGGAAAAACTTCTCTATCTGATATTGGAACAAAATCCCACAGATTGAAACAGACCTCTCCCAGGAGCTCAGCACCTACAGTCCCCACTCCAGAGGTTTCTCCTGCTCTACAGGTGCAGCAGGGGTGCTGAGGTCACCCTTGTCTGTCCCCGGGGCAGCACAAGCGTTACCTTCACAAGCCTGCACCGCAGGTAGCTGCTGAGCACGTAGCGGATCCTTTCGATCTCCATGCGGTGAACACTGATCTTCAGGTCTCCTCTCTTTGCCCGTTTCAGGTTTGCTTCCTGCAAGAAAAAGCAGAGAGGGAATTAACAGGTTGAAATGTCAAAAAACAAGAAACAGAAAAGACATCTTGTACTTTGGGTCCACAAAACCGGCCCGCAGCCTCCTTTGGTGACACAGAGCACACTGTTTCCTTCTACCTCCTCTCCTCGACAAGCTCGAGGAAGGTGCTCAGAACAGCCTCATCTCAGAGCCAGGGCAGCAGACAACCCTGGCACGCCCAGCGGAACCCACGCCGAGGGCCTGCCTGTACCACTCCAGCCCAGCAGAACCTACCATGTGGTCCAGCTGCTCCACGACGCACTCAATGATCTCGGGTTTGCTCTCCAGCAGCTCTGGGGCAAACTTCTCGTTCAGCCAGGCCTGGAAGAAGGCACAGCGTAAGAAGCAGCAAGGATTGTGCCTGATCCCAGCCCCCAGAGAGGTCAGAAACGCGGCTCCCCACACGTCCCCCAGCGAGCCCAGGGGCCCGTCTCCGCACAGCCCCCCGGGGAGCCCCGGGCCCCGCTTCCAGCCACCCCAGGGAGCGCAGGAGCCCGACCCGCCGGCTCACACTACCTGCTCCAGGCTGCGGATGAGCTGCGCCGGGGTGAGCACCAGCTCCTCGCTGCCGCCGTCCGAGTCCTCCCCGCCCGGCTCCCGCTC